CACTTTGGGTCTGCTTATGATTGACTGTAGTTCACCCCCTCCCCCGTTCCTGCAGACACCACTTTAGCCCTTCCCCCATTTTTTGCAGAAAATGCCAAATATTAAGTAATAAACTACCAGGAAAGCCTCTTTTTATACGTTTTTGCCCCCTCCCCCACTTTTTTAGACCCCCACTTTGCTCAACGCTCCGCGGTGCCTACTTCAGCGTTCCTCGTGTCGTTGGCAACACCAATCAAGATGGCAAGCATATGAAAATATATGTGAAAGGGGCCTTGTCAGTTTTGATCTTGTAATTTCAATTTTTTGTAGAAAACCTTTCCGTCATGACAACCATTAACGAATTAATTGCACTATATAAAGCTAGCAAAATCTTAATACAAGAAACGCTAAGAAACTCAACTAGTAGCCACCTCTCTTTTTTTCTATGAAATACAAAGAGAGAATGAAATAAAACACGATGCGGACAATGTACACTAAGCTTCTAAAGTTATATTTGGGCCCACATAAGTCACCAGTCACCTCAATTAGACTTTACTGGGAAACTGCGCGCTAAATTGTTACAAGTTATTTGTTGATCGATCGAGCTCTCAGCGAAAACTCTCCATACTATGAAACGACCGTTCTGTAAGAAACCGCACTACAATACTCTCGAATAAGAAAACATATAACCATATGAAATTACGCCTTATAGTGCCACGATATGAGAAAGTCAGAGAAGGCTAATGTTTTAAAACAATTGCCAAGTTTCTAAAGTAATGACGCCGTCGTAATGGATCAATATGTTGAAGGTCAAGGTGAGGTTTTTGGTCGCCTTTTAGGCATTTCAAAAGAATGGTTATTGTCCCATCACTTTTGCCATAATACAACATGGATCATCTCAAATCCTTATCTTTACAACCAAACTTAAAACTAACAACGCACGCACAGATAGGGAGAAGTTGGCTTTTACAACAGGGTATGATTGTCGTCATGTTTAAAGATGGGGTGACAGTCTCAGAAGAAAATCCACATAAATTCTCAAAATATTAGGCAATTGTTATTGAGTACGCTAGTACAATTGGTTTGGCGGACATAGGCGTAAGAAGAACCTGAAAAAGTGGGAGGGGGCACAAGTAAGCAAAAGGCTGTACTTCCACTATTTCCACTGTTCCGCTACATTAGCTACATTACCACTCTTTCTGATACGTTTGGGGGGAGCATATTCCTCCTGTGCCCCCGGTCCTTAAGTCTATGCAGGGGGCTTAAACCTGTACCGGAATACCTTGGATACTAGAGGCCCCAGCGAGTCGATGGATTTAAGAGTAAGAAAGAAGAAATGCAAAGGAAAAACGGATGTACAGGTACCCAAGGCAGTACAGGGGAGGGTATGAACAATTACAAAATAATGTTTGAAACCCCATGTGACGATCAGGTATTAAGAACTCAATGGAAAACTCCTAATTCTAACTGAAAACTAAACTTTTCAAAAAATGCCTTTGTTAAGATTCTTCAGCCATGACCTATGCACACAAGTACTGTGTAATTCGAAGCTAAGTGCACTTAAACCATTTTTTATTTCCGTGAAAAACATGTTGTTGAGCTTTCGGTTTGGCGGTATGCAGCCAGGAAGATGTAATCTGTAACTTGAAGAGTCTCTAATTGCGCATGACTGTTTGGAACACGAAAAAAAGCACATTTTCATTTTGATATCAAAGATGCAACTTGAACGCTGTTAAAAATGCTTTAAAGTGGCACTTAGACCATTCATTATGTGGCCATACACACGATTGTCATTTCAAGATGTGGTCTGAGCACAAAGACGACACAGCTGTTCTCGAACTTAAATATTAAATTTCGTATAGAATTTTAATTGCGTACTGTTTCTGAATCAATCCGATCCACCATCCTTTCTGGAATACTTCAATTGAGGTTTCATCTCGTCATTCACTTAACACACCCTTAATTCCAGTGTTCATTTTCTAGATTCACGACAATGAAGATGTTCACAACACACTGTCTTAGTCGAAGACACACTTTCTTACAACACAACAGAGCACCGAAGTGATGACATCACAATAACATATTTTTAGAAATTTTCAGTTTTGACCATATAATCCCAAAAATCATTATAAATCCCTCAAAATGTGCAAAATCAGTTGAATGAATACCTCAAATTGGCTGAGATGTGGCCAGGATAACTTCAATGTTGGTCCCAGTCTCCATAATTCAGTCTCAGAAATATGGTTCAAATCTAGTCATAAAAGTATTTATCGGAGCAAGGATTTGAAAATGAACTCTTTCCCCTCCTCCGCATCAATTCATTATCCGGTTTCTTGAGTCTCTAGTACCTGGGGTGAAATATCAGCAGTCCATTAGCAAACCTGAATTCTTTCATTGGCCATATCACACCCAATTTTTAACATATCTAACTGATTTTTTGTACATTTAGAGTTGTTTTATGCGTTTCTTTCAGGTTAAGTGGTCAAAATTAAGAAATTCTAAAAAATATTTCCGATGTCGTCACATTTCAGTACTCATTCCAGCTACTATGGGCTGGAGAGAAGAGATACGTCTTCTGAAGTACTTTTCTTTTGGCCCGTATTTTGCGAATATGAATGCTTTTTCCTCGTTAATTTCCCTTGCCAAAATTGTATAAATAGCTACCACATTGGCAAGAGAAAGGACCAAGGAAAAGACTACGTGGGCACGATTTGTATGCAATAAATTTTGCACGGTTGAATTTTAAAAATCTAATTGATTCACTTCTCTCCTTTACCTCAACCAGGGGTGGTGCCAGAAATCTTCCGACAGAGGGCTGGAGCTTCCGACAGGGGGGCTAAAATGACTAAAATAAGCAGTTTTCGTACGTTATTTTGTCAAATTTGCTCCGACAATAACCTAAAATTTCCTCCGATGGGGGGGGGCTAGATGCTTCCGACGGAGGGGCTGTAGCCCCCCTAGCCCTCCCCTGGCGCCACCACTGACATCAACCTCAAAAGACAGACATATAATTAGGAAGACATTCGAGACGAATGGTATAGAAGAATTACGAATATACAAGATATGATCAAGAAGGCCTTTTCAATTGCTGAACATTGAATTTCATGCAGCAAATACATTAAATTTTGCACAGTTGAATTTTTGAAATCTAATTTGTTTTAGTATAAAAACATGCATTTTATTATAAGTTTAAGTAAACAATATTAAGTCCAGCTGCTATAATTTACATTCAAATTTGCAAACATTTAAGTCGTGAAAGCTCTCAAGAAAGCCGTTCCAAGTTAAAAATGGGTCTCAGCTTTCTTCAAACTGCAAGTACAAAAAGGAACGCTCCCAAACAGTTATTAAAGAACTCGGCTGTGGCTCAGAGCTTAAAATTCTGTGTGCATTGGGTCATCAATTTTTGGATGCGCCAAGACAACTACCGTTTATAATGTCTCCCCTCTTAATAGACATTAGCAGAAAAACCACTTAATCCACGATTTGTTTATCTTTTATCTGTACCCACCCTCTTTAATGTAAGACTGAGAGCAGGGTACAAAACATGTCACATTCTAAGGAGGGCAGTGGTAACACACTTGTTCTCAATGGGGCTTATACCCAAGCTCCTCAGGTTCGCACAAAATTATTGTAGCGAAAGTTATTTGCTGATTTTTCTCAACCCTGCTAAGCAAAACAAAGTAACTAGAAATTCGCAGTCCAGTCATTCAAAATACTGAAAGCAAATAAGGTGTCCCGATCCCGCATTACTCTTAAATATGATGCATTGCTAACAATAGATCACCTGACTTTTTCTACTCTATTGCGCTTCCTCTTTGAAGTTCAGGGCTCGGGCATGCAGGCCCCATGTTTTTGTTGAATGCGGCAAAACAGTAAAATTTTCAAAAGTTGATCCTTAAGTATCACATTGTTGAAATATAATCAATTTAAAAATATCCAATATCTGCATTTATAACGGAATAGAAAAACTGGATGTTAAATATACAAAACGGAAACATTGTATCGCGTCTTTTCTCGGTAAGCTTTACAATTTTAAGAGAGAAACAAAATTAACAAACAAATACATAGTGAAATTTTTCTAACAGAAAATTCTGTAAAAAAACTTTGCTAAGAAGAATCCAGATTTAAGTACTCTGACGTTTCTGTTGGTTGCAAAAGATGCAACTGATTTTCTCGAGTTGCTGTATATTTTGCTTTGCCGAATATTTTTCTATTATGATAGACTAATTTGTGTTTTCATATAAAACCATTCAAAACTTTCACCATTTTTAGTAGAAGCGGAGATTGGCTGCTAAAAGGATACCTTTTGTACCGAATTGTAGCTAAAAGGATACCATTTTCTGAGCAGAGCTTTTTTGACAGGAGCTCCAAAGGGGTACCGTGCCCCCTCCCTCTCCCCCCCCCATTTAGTTTAAACTTCTGCTTACGAAGTGCCCGTTAAGCTATAAATTCTTTGTGATAGTATTAAGTGGGCATCACGAGTTACTAATAACATTCTACGTCCCCCGAGGAGCCTGTGTATTTGAATACGTTTCTTCAATCAGATTTACAATTGAAAAATTTAAAGTTGTCTAAAATGATTACGTTTAATAACATAGTGACAACGGGGATTGCAGTTCTTGGAGAGGGAAAACCCCAACAGCGCCAATATAACCTGGTTTCTGCAGAGTGGTGCCATTCGTTACAAAACTCTGCACTGTTGTGTTGCAACACTCCCTTGAGTTGCTTGATTTAATTATCTTACGTAACTGATACTAGGATTGTAATAGATATTAAAGGTAAAAAGTCCCAATTTATATTTCGTCCCACTTGAAAGTGTGCATCGCACCACAACATATTGGATCAGTCAGGTGGCCACAACATTATTAACGAAACAAACATCAACTGAATTCCCACTGCAAAGATTGCATATTTTCTTAGGCTACTCGTGACGATCAGAACTGGCTTTAGATGCACTTCTAAACTAAAAATAAAACATCGCAAGATAATTCAAAAGGAATTCATCTCTTCTGAACACTTACTAGGCTTCCTGGTAACAATCGATTGATAGCCTATACCCCAGATCCACAGCGTTTTGCCACACAAGCCCGCCAGCTCGGCTTCAATATTCATATAAACCACTGCTTCAGTGTAAAACCTCAAATGATTTCAAACGACAAGCTGAGACAGATTCTTGATTTGTTGCATGAAGCTAGCTCGTCCCTCCGAAAATCTCATTCTTCAAAACATTGTGTTCAGTGTTTAGGTCTACTTTATCCTGACCACAAAGACTGCAATGAAAATGACAGCTATCACTCGTCCCTTGTCATATTCCGCACGAACTTTACCCCATTGTTTGCTGTTTTCGGCGTTGAACCGCGGCCTGCTTTCAAACGATGAAGCAACCTCTAAGCTTCACTTTTCTTTTAAATCGACAAAAGAACGTGAAGCGTGAAGAGTTTGGGGCTATGAGGGACACGACTTCAAAATAGGATATTGCCTCAATTCTGGAGGATGTCTGTTGACCATAGGGTGCGGCACCTTTTAAAATCTCATTGATACCCCTTTTGTTTTTTTACCCCCTTTTGGGTCAGCTAAGCGAAAATAAGCCCTCGCTCTTTAACGTACATATAGGGTTTATTTCTTAATAAGAGCTGAGGTCTTGATGATGAGGGACTCCGGATCATGTAAAGTTTTTCTACTTTTTTCTAAAATTTTCATGATGAACAGGAAAATTCTAACAACGCCGTTTACTGGTAAATAAAATCTGGAAGCACATAGACTAGAAGGTGGGATAGAATTTGCATGTAAACATTCGATGATTTCATCCCACCTACCAGATTATGGGCAGAGAGGTGGGATAAATTTGCAGATATGAATAGGCCCTAAGCCGGATGACATCCATGGTGATGATATCAACAAAGCTAGAAAATACCTCACAAATTTGTGCTTGAATTTAATTGTGCTTGAGTTGACACCGGTAAAATATTGAAAAACCATCCAAAACACTTCTTCTCTGATTTTCATAAATATTTATCATCCATTTTTAAGGACGTTTATCGCAAAATTCACGCTTGTTTATTAAAATACACTCAAGAGCTAGCTTATTAAAAATATTTGGCCTTGATTCTATGACAAATGTCCAATTTCAACAAATTAATGGTCTCGATGCGCATTAAAAATTGATTAGAAACGAGATTATCTTCTGCAAGAGCAATGATATGAAATATTCGAGAAAAAAATTCTTTAATGATCATGTCAAAAAATGGTTCTTCAACGTTTACGCTTTGCCAGCAACTAACCAGTGTTTGAAAAAGCAATAAAAATGAGTGTTTTTCTTATCACCTGAACTATATTAACGCCCTGTGTAAATTTATACAGTACGATAAATCACGTTTGAGGCTTCTTGTAGATTTTAAAAAACAAACAAATTGCAAATGCAGGAAGCAAGGAGATTTTAACGTCACAATTATACTCAGGCGTAAACGAATCACAGAGCAAAAACCGAACAGATAGCGCAACACACCGATTCTGTGATGATAAAACCTTTTGATTTCACCATTCTCTGTTAAGCAGATTTTAGATCTTGGTTGTCTGTGTCTCATACCTGAAATATATATATTTATATATAATTATATATAATATATATATATTTCAGGTATGATAGATGATATATATATATATATATAAATCATCAGTTGAGCACTCTAGACAGCAATATGATAATTAATATAATATATAAATAAATATATATACGTTTAAACGATAATGTTTTTTCTGAATATCTATATTATCTTTATCACACTAGGTGCATGAGCTTTGAAAGTATTTATTAATATATATACAGTGGTTCAAAACAATTTTATGCCATTCCTGCACCCTTGTGGAAATAATTTTCCTCCTGTCAGCCTTTGCCTTATGCTTCTATTTCATAACCAGCTGTGATATACATTATGATTACAGTTCATTGACCCTTCTGTCGATAGCTTCTTTTTTGAGTCTTTTCTTCTATGAGTCGCAAGTATCGTCATGTATACTATACTATAATCAGGGGCGGATCCAGAGCAAACTTGAAGGAGGGGCAGTTGGTAGTGGGGGCGCTGAAGATGATGGCGAGAGAACGCTGTAAACAACAATTTCAGATCCATTTTCGGAATAAATAACATAACTTTGAAGTAATCATTGAAGCAAATAACCTACTGGTCTCAGAAATTTTTTCACCTGATTCTCATTCTTCAAAAGGGGCGCACAATTTCCAAAAAAGGGGCGCCATACTTGCTTCAACTCGTCGAGGGAGGGGCAACTGCCCCTAGTTGCCCCCCCTTAAATCCGCTACTGACTATAATCCTGGACGTCCTGTTATTGATCTCAAGTATAACGAGATATTGTGCAATTCTTGTTTTCCAGATGATGAATTTTTTTTTACTTTGAAACTTTCTGCCACTTGAATGGAAAATAGGCATTGAACTAGCAAGTCAGTGATTGACCTTGTGCAAGCAGTCCCTTAACTTCTGATGGGCAGGGGGCCATTCCCCCAACTTGGTATGATAGACCTATCAATTTACGTTTTTGTTGCCCCTACTTACAAATATCTAGTTACGGCACTGTTTTAAGGTTTATGGTTTTATTGTGTTTATGTATCTCCATTATTGTCGTCGTACTAACATTTTATCAATAAATTTTAACCCGGCCGCATTCAAGGAACTTTCAGAGAAAAAGATTTAGCGCTTTAAATACATACCCAATTCTGTGTTTCATCTCATTGTATAATTTGTAAACTTTACAGTGCTTCAGGAAAAAGATTCAAGATGTTCTGTAGCTAGATTTATTCAATAAGAAAATATCCTTTCATTCCAGCAAAGCCATCGATCTCCTGTTAGTCTTTACAACTTTTGTTTAAATCAATATATACAAACAAAGAAGAAAGCGGTGAAGAACCCAGTAGAAATGCTTGATGGATATGAAAACTGAATATGGAATGTTTGCTATGAGAGATGGATAAGGAAAATGAAATAATACATCGAAACTGAAAGTTCTTCTTATGGCTAACTTTGTTTGCATATTTTCAATCTTTGAATTGCATGATTTTCAAGCATAATTTCTCACTAAAACGTTTTTTGCAAAAATTGTTAAATTCTTTCAAAGTAAAAGGGTTAAAGCTACCGTGCATAATGTCAATAGGGAACTCCAATGTTCTCAAGGGCACATGATAAGAAAATATCATCATGGCCAAAGATTCATTAGAGACTTCTCATTCATTCAAAAACAACGTTGGATGCAAGAGAAGTTTTAAAATTCCAAAATTTCACAAGCTTGCTTACACTTGAATGCAGCTACGCGATTGCAGGTGGCAGAGGAGCTAAAGTCCCTAAAAACATCCGATTTGTCGCCATTTATGGAATTTTGTGAAAAGTAAGAGCCGCTTATATCACTTAACAAAGAGCTTGCACGTGAAACACTGGACAAGGACATGGCTTAAAACTTGGGTGACCAAAATACAAATTATATAACAAAATAAGAAAATTAAACCTCGAAGAAATTAACTGATCTTAGTTTCAGAATCTGATTGGAGTAAGGAGTCGTAAGCTTCTTGGACCTCTCCTGTCTGTGTTTAAGATATTTTTCTTTCAAATGAAACATGTTTGTTTCTGACGCCGTTCTTCATTTTTCTTCTGGTGGTGGGCTTTAAACTTAGGCTCTTAGTAATATCGAGCTACACTAAGCAAATACAAAAAGAGAATCATCGGCAACTGACCGAATTATGTTTCTATCTTTCCTCCCCTATTTTAACTGTTCAGGGTCACAATGGCAAAGCCAGGGGGGCATGTGAAACCCTCTTTAAAACTGTTACATAGGGAATATATGGCAAGGAGATTTCAGAAAAATGCACCAAATGGTATTGTTTCCCATCGAGTCACTGCCTTGTCCAAATTGGTGAGCAAAAATGAGAAAATCTAACTTATAATGAACATCAGTGCAAGCCACGTACAACACAAAACCCTTCGTTTTCTTATCAAAATGCGTGGAATCTTTCTTTGTCGCTAAGCACTCCAGTAAAAACACTTCCACAAAATCAATAGGGTCTAACCTCCAATTGAACATATGAAGATCAATTAAATCTTCTAGAGAAATTAAATTTTCTAGCCATAACCCTCAAGAAACCTTCACCAGCTTTTATTCCAGCAATAGATCCAATCTGTAGGTAGCCTTTTCTTGGTACTTTTCCTTGTTTGATTTCCATGAAAGAATTCCAGAGTGTGACATTTTGGAAATGCATTTTTAAAACTTTTAAGATTTGACCTCATCTCTTGAATGAACACTATAAAATGCCTCTTATCTGTGCAAAACCAGTTGATGCCTATTGACTGACATACAGTGAGAGAAATGAGCCTTGCTAATCAATAACTGTTGTTCAAAATCAAACTACAGTGATTTTATGGATAGAGAGTCTGGCTTTATGTAGCCATATCTCAGCCAATTTGAAACAGATTTAATTGATCTTCATAATGTCTTTCAGGTTATGGGGGTCAAAATACAAAGAACTTTTTATGAAATTTAAATGAAGGCAATTGAAGCACGTGTCAGTTTACTCATCCAGGTGTCAGTTATGAAAGGCCGGGGTCAAAAGGGGGAGGGGGGACATTGCCTATCTACTTTTTCACTAAGTGATAGATCAAAATCAGATTAAATTATTTATTTAGATAAAACTTAAAGGGCCTCTCCAACCAAATTTTGCACTTGCATTTTATTGGCTAATCTAAAGGAGTTGAACCCTGCTGATCACGAATTCGTTATTTGTTTTTCGATATTTTTTACAGTTTATGAGATATAAGCTCTTGCATTTCGATAATTGAATTGAATTAACCATCAAAAAGTTTCGGTTTGATGACACTGTGACGCAATTTTGACGTCACAGTGTATTTCATTAGTCTCGCCTCAAACGGAGTCGAACGACGGCGAATCGCGAATTGAACACTGCAATTGTTGGTACTCTCAGTTCTGTTCCACCAGCTTTTAGTTTGAGCATTTCAGATATCAATTCTGAAGCCTTTAGTTGTTCATCGTTTCTGGAAAACTACTGAAGTGTCAATTTCGATTAATTATACGCGAGGGAAGAGCTGGAACAGGAAGCCGTAGCTTTGTGGGCCTACACAGGTGATCAAAACAAAGTCGTGACACAGCATGGGCACATTCCGACCCGCAAACTTAGAATGATTGTAAACATTTAATATTTTTCCCTAAAAAGCTCCTGCTCTAGATTTAGATGCAGTTACCAACGCGTGACCATGACTCCTTCACGATTCGGTGGAAGATATACGAAATTCATGGCGAACGAGAGCCGCACATTGTGACGTCAGAATGTCACAAAACTGATTCGGATTTTGTCGTTTTCTTCTCGGAAAGGTGCAACTTTAAAGCCTTATAACTTCTAAACTAATTGGAATTTTGCAAAAACAACAACTTTGCCATAAAACACGCACCCAGGGCAAGTGGCGTACCCAGGGCTGTAGTAGTGGGGGGGGGTCTGCAGAAATTTTTTGGACCACGCCCTTCAAATACTCGCAAATGCGGGGAAACGCCCTTTTTGCGAAATTTCCCCCCATTGTTTGATTCATTTTAGCTACGGTAGAAAGCAAAGTATTTTACAATTGTTATTGACACAAACATACAGTATACTACCCCCCCCCCCCCTCCCCACGAGTTTACAGTCGTTTTTGACAAATTCTCGAGAAACACACTTTAGAGAGTGGGGGGTCCGGACCCCCTATTCCCCCCTCTGGTACGCCACTGCTGATATGGCATGCTGTTTGTAAAATCATTGGATCTCGATTATAATAACTGAAAAAGTGCTGGAAACGGATCAAGCATCTTAGCCAAGAACCTCAGAGACAAATTCATTATTTGTAGCGTTAAGTTGCAGCA